CTTGATTGATAATTTGTTCATTGTTGTTGATAATGAATACAGAGAGTCTTAGTAATAAGCATGTTGCTATTCAGAATGAAGAATTTAATAATTTTGATATTGAACTGTTTCAAAATAGTTTCGGGAACTTTGATGTAGATGAGTATATGAATATTTTGTATTAAAATTATTTTTTGTTTGTATTAAACAGTCTCTGAGTGAATTTCATTATTTCAAACATAAACCTCCAAGTTGGTGGTTTGTGTGCTTAATCCACAACTGCATAACCTAGCATGACAAAAATTAGATCCACGAACTCCCCCACCCCTCATCAAGACAACATTGTCACTTTAAGAAAAACAACAACAACAAAGCATGGATCTGTAATTTACACTACATTATTCCCGTATCTCAGATGAGTTATCTTGGGTGTAGTTGTTTGGGTTAAACTCTGCACCATTTACAAATAAATTTGTTTAATAAAACTATTTTGTTGTTGTTGTTAAAGCATCTCTTCCCCTATCAGATGTTTCAAATGATAAGCATACATGAATTACTATCATAGGAGGGGTGTGTGAGTGTAGGTATATGACTTACCGACAAAGGTAGATTAGATTTAGTTAAATAATTCAGTTGTAGAAATACAGTAGGAATAGGAAGAGTTTGAAATAACAAGAAAAGAAACCTTTGAAACACGAGAAAAGTCTATAAGTTCACTATTAGCAATTGTATTTAGATAGATTTTCCATGGAGTAGGTTCATAAGACAAATTGATTTGAACTGTATGATATTATTCTATATCTTGCATTTTTTGTAGTTAATTATTGTGTGCTATGATTGAATATTTAAAGTGGGTTGTGCTAAGGATAATAGGGTTCATGGAATTCATGTCTGAATTTGAAAACTTAGTATTCATATGACAGCATTACATGCAAATTAAAATTTTGGTGTATGTTGCTACTAAATGCAAATTACTCGCATAAAAATTTGAAGCTCAACATATTTTGTTATAAAGTACTAACACAAATAATTTCAACAAAAATGGTTAATTAAGTAATTTGTGTTTGTTAGCTTTGTTCATATAATAAGCACAACAGGTACAAAAACTAGAGATTTCAAATGCTGAGTTACTAGTCTAGACAAGTTTTGGTAGGGACAAAAGTCAAATGGTGGCCATCATGCTGCAGAAACTGTACAGACCCACAGCACTTCCAACAACATGAAATATTTAGAGTATTAGAAATATTATATAAACTAGTTCTGTTAGTGCCAAGTTTAAATAAAGTTACAACTATAAATCTACAAAAATAATGTGACAATCTTTTTTCTTTGTGTTTGTACAGGGATTAATGTTTTGTTTTACTTGTTACCAAAATTAAACTAGAAATAGTGTAGTTACACTTGGTCTGTTTTATTTGTTCCCTCAGGGAGATCATATACATATCTAAATATAATATTAGAGCTACACAAAAACTTAACTTTTACACTAATCTATTTCTGTACTGTTTCAGAGTTGAATATGTAATACTAACAGACCTGCAAAACATTTGCTGTCAAATTAGTATCTTTATTGCAACAGTATTTCTTTAAATACAAGATTTGTAGAATAATACGAACGAAATGTAATCATAGACACTGATATGTGTAAGTCCACTCGTATTTAGGTTGTACTTTATAAAACCTTAACTAATGTTAGACCTAAGTTCGATAAAGAGATAAATTAATGCTGTACTGTGTATGTTTTTTATATATATTAGCTTAGTTAGGACTAACCTATATTGTACTCAATACTATCTATAAATCAACTTATAGTGTTATTCTAGGGCTTAACATCAGACCGTTTTGAAAACTTCAAGGTTTTAATGTTATTGAACTAAATGGTCAATAAAAAATATTTATATCCACCTTTTTTATTATTCCTTAATTCACAGAGCAGTGGTAGTGTCTTGTTCATTGAGCTTTCTAGCTCTATGGTGCAGGCAGGCACTTGCACTGTTTTTGTGAGTAAAATTGTTACTGTGCATGCTTATAAGGTGTACTGATAGCAGAATTATAGTATGACAAAATTTTGATGTCTGCAATTAGAATTATTTTGTATTATTCTAGACATTCTATACTTAAAGAAGTACTGTGACAATAAAGACACTAATCTGAGCACAAATGTCTTACACCTTACTCTCTAAATGTGCATGCATGCATACACCATTTCCATAACAGACACACACACAATTGTATTATTATACAGATTAAAAGGATTTTGAACATGCAAATCAGCAAATCAGCTGACAATCTGATAGAACCTCAATATTTACAATTAAAGATAACTTACAAGAAATGACACACATCTTTACACATTAAAGAACAGTCATTATTTTTTTTATTTTTCAATACAATTTTCTTTAAGCAAAAAGAACCTTCAATAGTCTCTTAAACATTTACTCTTAATAAGTTACTTTCTTCTTTGTACCCAAAAAGTAAGATCTTATATCTGATATATATCATTGATTTTTAAATTGAGTAATTTATTTACGATTGCAATTGAGTTTTGTCAATACCCTTTGCCTCCACAAATCTTTCCAGAAATTTAACTTAAAAAGCATTTTTATTTAAGTAATGAAAGAGAACCTTATACAATGATGCATTAAAACATTGTTGTTTTTCACAATTTATAAGTGAAACTAACTTTTCAAAGAGATTAATTACAAATACAATAAACAAGCTGGACAATACCAAAAATTAAATGTTACTTCTCATAAGACTTTTCTTTTTTTTACCTTGATAAAGCATAACCTGAACTGCATGTATTTATGAATATAACTAAACATTATTTATGGCAGAAATCCAGTAAATTAAAACTTGAAAATATTTGTCATTTATCTTAATGCACACAATTAGGACTTAAGACAAAAGTCATGCATACAAAACTTAATCTGACCAGCATAATCTCTTTTAGAGTAATGCAACATATATTTCAAATTATTATGTCTTCTGTAAAGCTGCATCACTTTGGTTACTCTACAAAAGGACTATGCTGGGCTAGTTCTGGCACTAAACTTCATGCAACTTAACTGTTAAATGACTAATAGAAATAACAGTTCAATTTAGACTCGTCAGGCATGTAACTCATCAGGCTTGATAAGCTTTCATACAAAGCCTTACCAAAACCAAACAAAATATAACAAAATTACTTTTTTTTAATGGAAATCTGCACTGTTTAGTGATATTATGGTATTTTTTTTTGTAATCAACCACAAGACTTGTTACACAAAAAATTACTATATAATTGTCTTACTTCATATGCATTAAAGTTACAGATGTCATCATTCAGTCCTAACTATATTTCTGAAAACATTGGATGGTATGCACTACAGATTCTGGTCTGTGTTTATATAGCGCACATTAACTTTTTAACAACATCGGCACAAATCATAACTTTTCATTTTGTGTATCACAAACTTCTTTAATGTTATTAACAATGAAAGAAAATTTATATAAATTGCTATAAAATCTACTGTTACAGTTTTACCATAAGAATAATCTTATAGAGAATTAAATACCAAAAGAAATATTATTAACAATTGTCATTACATTGAAATACATTTTAATCTGGCATTGAAAGTAGATAAAAAAGAACTATTGGATATTATTTAAAAAAAAGAAAAACAGTTGAACATTCTATCATACAAATTGATCATCCTATGTAGTAATTTAAAGAGTGAAGTTTAATTATCAAACTATTGCTGCTTTGCTGATTACATCATCTTCATCAGTAGAAGATAAAGAAACAGCATATATGCTTTGAAATGTTTCACTTTTACATTCTGATGGGTGGCTTATTCATATTAGAAATTATTACACAACAGGTTTTACACAAACTGAACCACGGGCAACAATTTTTATGCATCATTTGATATAGGTTACTTCAATAACAACATAATTGAATTAATGCTAATTATTAGCGATAAAACAACATCAGTACTTATGCAGAACAGATACTGTGCTAAATAATAACCTTTATTAACATATTATCATGCAACTTGTATGTACAACAATGTATTCAGGCTAATATCTAAAAAGCACCACTAATAAAAAGTATTTCATCCATGGAAGACACAGTATAATGCTACAAAAAAGTTCAAAATTAGCAGGCTGTAGGACTAAACAAGACATCTGGTATCACCAGACTATAAAACCAGCAAAAAATAAAATATTCTTAGTCTACAAGACTGTTGAGAAATCTACTGTCATCAGACTACAGCACAAGTTAAGAATCTGGTATCACTAAGCAAAGGATCCACTAGGAAATCTGTTATCACTCTACCATAGACCTAATGAAAAACATCTGGTATAATCAAATTATAAAACCAGTGATAAACCTGGTATCATCAGGCTACAACTTAATGAGTTGTATGGTGTCATTAAATCTGGATATCAAAAGTAATCCTAACTCTGCCATGACAGAGAAAACCTTTGGCAAACTTCTGAGATAAAAAAATATTATTTTTTGTTTGGCATTTTATAGGGCAAAGCAACTAGGCTATCTGTGCCAAACAATCAGTAAAATACAATGCCACAAATTACGTAAAAAACTAAATAGAAGTAAAAAATTTCAATGGCCTGCAAAAAGTAAAAAAACACAATCAAGTTGGACAATGTCACCATTGCCAATGACACCTTCCAACATCAGGGGTAAACCCTAAGAAAATACATGTCTGAAATGATGCAGCCACTCACATTTGTAATGACGACATGAAAGTAAAATGTGGACAATTGTGACCTGAATGTCACAAAGATTACAAATTGGTGGATCAGACCCACATAAAAGAAAACAATGGGTTAAAAAACTGTGAACAATGCATTGCCTAGCCAAGACAACTTCCTCCCATCGATCCTTGGGGAAACTAGACTGCCAAACAACAACAGTAGGTTTGATCTAGCAAAGCTTGTTATGAAGTTGCTCACCCTAAATCAATAAAAAAAGAGACTACTAGAAACAAGCAGAGAAAAAAATAACAACTTACCTGACAGAATGACAATCTTCTCTTGTAAGAGACTAAGAACATCTCCTGCCTTCACTCCTTCTGGTCGACGAGGACCTGCAGATTTAAAATAAAACCTTCATATCACACAAATAGTTTTTTATAATAATTCTTTGGGCAAATTTCTTAAACAAAGGTTTATACTGTGTTTTTACAAAAATCTGTGATCAAAAGTCATAATTTTGTAATTACATAAACGTAATTATGGTTGTGCACATCACTTTCCAATATCTTAAAATGTTATTTCAAAGTATTCCAATAATGAAACAATGGTCCCTTTTCTAACCATCTGGAACAACACATTCAACTATCTAAAATTACATAAACTTCATCTTGCATAGCATATCTAAAACCATCATTAATTTTAAGCAAAGTCAACATTTGCCTAGTTATGGAAGAAAGTCACTTTAGTAAAATCAATTACTGTCTAGTTCACATTATATATTTTCAAAGAATGAAGAACCACACTAGATGACCACAACTATCAATATGTTATTTGTTCACATTATATAATTCCACAGACAGAGCTTAAATCGTCACATATATCAAATGACAGGTTCAGTACATTATATACATTCACAGACCATGAAGCCACGTTGAGATTACTATAATTTGCAACATGTGGTATATTAACATAACAACATTATATTCTTCTATGGCATAAAGAATCATTTAAATGATTGCAACAATTTCTGAATATATTGTTCAAAACATCAAACATTTTCACTCCACACACTTGGGACTTTTTCCACAAATATCCAGGGATTTGTCTTCAGTACAGTGACTATGGAGTCATCCAGAAAATCATCAAGAGACTGAAAGTGGTCAATGACACTGTAGAAAGAAGCATAGCTCCGACTCAAGAGTATCATGACCACCTAACATAGAACAAGGAACAAATGCAGTTCTTAATTCATACTGTCTCTCAGCAAAGAAAGTTGTGCATTGATTCCAGAAGTTCACTGTGATTTCAGCCCTAAAGTAGAGTGTAAGTTCGGTATTCATCCATTTCTAAAAACAATTCCTTCATGAACATAGGCCTCATTGCAGTGTCACTTACATCAACTTTTAAGCCCTGTTTGATTTGTTTTATACTATTCTATTGTTCTAAAAGTATATATATGTTCGGAAAATAAAACTTTCAAGTTTTGTGATAGACTTTTAACCCATGTGAGGCACCAGTAAATAAGTCTCAATTTCCTTAAAATTTCACAGGTATAGTTATCTAGTGAAATGTGATAGATTGAGGAAGTTAGAGCATAAAATGTGTGATTTTCAAAAACAAGGGCCATCCCAGTAGAAACATCTGAAGACAAGCAGTGCTGAGAAAAGAATGAGCCTTTGTTCAAATGCTGGAACTCATGAGGATTACTGTGCATGGAGGATGTGTCGCCCTCCTATTGGTAAAGGGCTATACTCTAATGATGATTTCTGTACAAACATAATGTAGGGGTGGGAGCTTGTTGCATATGCAGAAATCTTTACAGCAGTGTGCAAGGTAATAGGTATTTGTTGAGCAGAAAGATAAGCAGTGTTTCACATAAAGATTTACAAATAAAATAAAGAGCAATAATTCATAAAATATACCACTAATAAAACAATGTAACCTAATAACCACAATTTACATATTCACTGTGGAACAACTCCCCCATCAAAAAAGGCAATATTTTACGAGGAGAAAAAATGAAAAAACTACAGACCCACATGGAAACATTTCTTAACGAACATGACATTCAATGACAAGGATCCATTATAACATGGCAAACTCCCAAACAGACTGCAATGTTACATGATGAAGAAATCCAGTTGCTACAAAAACTTTACCACATTTTTTCAACATTTTTATTTCCTTAGTTTCAAAAGCAAATAGACTAACATAAGCTCTAAAGTTACTGATCTTAGAGTTAATTTCATCTTTACCAACTATTAATGAAAATATATTGTACATACGGAAACACTTAGGATTTTCCTTCAAGTTAAAATTGTCAAACACTCTCATAATGGATAAAACAACACTGTTGGATATAATAACACCATTTAATACAATATTTATAAATACATATGTGGTAGTTAATCCTTATTTTAAATCCAACCAGTAATAAAAAAAAAGGGATGGTTTTGCTAATTTCAAACTAGCCAAACTAATTGATTTGATTAATCGTCAACCAGATTCCATGAACATTTAATTTTTTTGTTACTAGATGGCAACCCATACTGTGGTTTTAAACTTGAAACATTTGTTACTTGAAATATTATTAACATTAATTACAATAATGGTCACAAAAGAAAGCACATAAGAGATTTTTTAGAAGTGGTACATATACTGAACAAACTCTTTTTACACTATATTTGATATAAGCTATTATCTCATTCAGCCATGTTTAACAATTTTTGACTTAGTCCACCTGGACAAAGAGCTTGAAATAGCTGTTTTACTGCAGTGCTTTAAAGTTACAGAGTGAAAATGCACATCAGCAGTAATGATATTTTTCCAGCATCTGTTTTCTTCCATTTATTTTTTGCATAAATTATAGAAGAATAGTAACAGTATCTTTTTAGCAAAACTGTTCGTAGCTGTACAACAAATTTCAGAACAGATCTTGCTATTGATTTAAATGCATTATAAATTTGTTAATTAACCAAACAAAGAATGTATGTATGATCTTTTCTGATACATTATGTGTAAGGATAGGAAAGAAACTCATTTTCTGTTGGGATTTCGAGGTGAAAACTACAATATATTTTGCATGAAATTAGCATTAACTCCTTTTGTGGTGTAAATAGTTGAGCAAATGTGAATATGAAAGCTAGCTTCAAGAATTTATTTTTTCTTTACACTAGAAGCTCATTCTAACTACTTTATTGTGTTACCTGATATTTAAACATAAAAGTTTCATATACAGTTGTTTTTGCTATCTTTTTTTTTAATTTCAAAATAAATTGACATAACTAATATTACAGGCTGCTGGAAAGATTTTCACTTTTCAGTTTCTTGCTCATAGTACTAAGATGTTATTCTGACATCTCTGAACAAAAAAGTATGTTATAAAAATTTAGTAATAAAAATAACATAGAGTAGTTTATGAGGAAGATACAAATATAAAAAAAAGGTTTTAGTAATATGGATCTGAAATGTATCCCATTACATTCTTTTTTCCTATCATCTGCACAGTAATTTTTAACCTATACTTGATAGTTGAACAGTGAAATTTGTTTGATAAACTACATGCTAGCCAATTTTTTTTTTTATGATTTTGTTTTCTAGATGTCAATAAATACAAAACTATAATAGCAACACAAATTATGCATCGTCGTATTAGAATCTCCAACTATTTCCAGTACAACAAAACAAGACAAAATGACCATGAAGCTATATTTATCACACAAGATATAACAGGTCAATTCAAATATCACCAAAAAGTTTCTCACCTCACTGACCATATGCACAGTATGACACAATTGAACTAACTTTACAAAGTCCATTAGACCTACATGAATCAGGTATCTGCTCAATGTACTGAGTCAAACAGCAATTTTTCACATGCAGTATCAACTAAAGCAACAGAATGAATAAAAATATATTTAATATATTTCAAACTATTAATTGTTACTTGCCAAATTGCTTACTTTTTTGTGTGCTAGATCAATGGTTCAGATCACCTGCATAATCCCAAAATAAACTGTGTACTTTCAACATTACAAACAGGTTTTAATGTCAATGTACTATGCTACAGACCGAAAGGTTTAAAGCCCAAGCCATAATATACTGCTGAAGATGCTCCACAGTTTAAGCTGTGGATAAGTTATAATCACCATATTCATGGACCAGTGATGCTGACCGGTTGCTCTCCTTCTGGTCAACAATTCTAAATGTGTTACATAAGGTCCTTTTGGGATGGGTATGAAAATTTCAAACACTAAATATCAAAGGCACAAATACTGTTGCATCAAAAGCTCTTGCTGTACAGCAATGTATCAAATAAAAACCCTTGCAACGGGCCATTGGACATTATCATGCCCCTTATGGTGATGGAAGACTTATATTCATAATTTTATGGGCTTAGCACGGAGACTGAAATATCAATCACTCTTTATTTCCAAGTTCATGAAATCCATAAAAACTAGGTCATAATATTAAATTATTTCATCCGATACGGATATTCCGAAATTAACACTGTAATCCTTAAATATCACACGTGCAATAAATAATGATTATTTTACAAATAACTTAGTGACACTAACACTGCATATTCTAGAAAAAAAATCTAAGTTTGCTCTTCAAAATAAACAAATCCAGAACTGAATGTTGCTGATTAGATAATAAGGCTTATTAGTATAGGAATTTTTCAAGTTGTATTTTTACCATTTTGGAGATTTAACTGCAAGCACCTATATAAATTAGGTATGAAAATAACCAAATATGTCTGTGTTGCACATTAACTAACATGAACTAATACTGACAAAATGTCTAACATAAAAAAAAAAGACACAAAATTGCACTCATCAATAACTTATCTTACTAGGTACATCATTGTTCAAAGTCTATGTAATAATATTTATTTGATACCTAAGAAAAAAAAAAACCTTGAAAGAATATCAGAGACTTAACAGCTAGCTCCATATACCATCCACACCTCAGCTGAAACCGTACTATAGACAAATTGTTTAACACAACGTCTTGGTACCTGTTGGTCCATCTCGGCTGTTCCATCGTCTAAACTAAATTGAAATGATTAAAAAATTAAAAAATCTAAAAGCCAGCCCTTTTCATTCATAAATTTATCAAGCTTTTTTTTGAACTCACTTAAAATTACTGCCTCTACAACATCCGAAGGCAACCCATTCCATAGTCAACCACCCTGTTAGAAAATTGAAACTGTCTTAGCTGAAGATGACTCCTACCTTGCCAAAAGTTATATTTGTGGCCCCAAAAAGAAAAATGGAATGCATTAGAAATTAATTCCATATGCTATCCACATCTCAGTTGAAACCGTATTACAAATTTAATGGTTAATGCAATACACTAATCAGACCTCAGGTGAATCCATGCTACAGAC